TTTTCAGTACAAATCGGCAATTTCATACTTTAACCCCTATTATAATAACTCTAGGTACCTACAATTTACATAAACCTAATGCTAAACCGCCTAAACGCCTTAGCCAGAAACACTCAGAACCAGATAAAGACATTAAATGTTTTTCAGCTGCTTACATGAGCGATCTATTACGTGATCAAATATTTTTAGATGATATCCGAAGTTATCGTACGTACCGAAATAAGTAAAAAAATATTGGACGTCTAAGAAAGTCTTCAAGCCTTCTCTGTTGTGAATGTTGTAAGTAAGCAGGTAATGTATTCATAGTTTAACATATCTATATCTAATTATGAATATCGATTTTCTTAGTGACGTCGCTCCTAATCCTCGAGGTGCAGTTATAAAAGAAAGCGATGGGCGGCCAGAAATTGAGTAGCCTCCGCAGCCTCGACTCCCACACGAGTCGCATGACGGGATTTGGTTTAAAAAGACTGGAGTAGTTCGTGCAGCGATTTTCTTCAGTATTTTTGGTAATAACCATCTCGGGGCGACCTCCCTTACCCTGGCCTATTTAAGTAAGTCTTAATAACAAAAGATAAACGAAAACTCTGACATCAAAAACTCTAATCATAACTTTCCCATTCCCTTTACCAACGTATAGTTTTATAACGAATTTGTTGGTGCTAGGTTAACTGGTTATCGGATAACGAGTGAAAATGACGATCGCAAGTTTGGATCCTGGACCGGGACTCGCGGCACTGCAAGCATGGGGCGGTCAGGTGGCGGCTTATGGCGCTTCCAACCAGACCGTCGTCGACAAAGTCAGTCCGGACATGTTGCACATGGTTGACCCTCACTGGTGCGTAACAGTCTTCTAGCAATTTTAGTTTAAATCTAACAAAACTACGGAACTTCAAAATTGTTGAGCGTTTTATATGTTTTGTCCAGGTACCAATTTCCACCTATGAACCCTCTGTGGCATGGACTTTTAGGCTTCACTATCGGAGTTCTCGGCTTCATCTCAATTACTGGCAACGGAATGGTTATCTATATCTTCTCATCCACCAAAGTAAGTTACTGAAGAATTGTGAAATTATATTTACACAAAATGAAAGTTGTAACAAGTTTAGTTGATCAAACTTTTTGTCTCTTCCAGAGTTTAAAGACGCCCTCGAATTTACTAGTTGTAAATCTCGCATTCTCCGACTTCCTTATGATGTGCGCGATGGCTCCGCCTATGGTTATTAATTGTTACAATGAAACTTGGGTATTCGGTAAGCACCAAATTGGAACATAAAATTTTAGTTAATCAATTATCAAATTCGATCCTTTACCCCGTTTATTTTTTTAAGGACCTTTGGCTTGCGAACTCTATGCGTGTGCGGGATCTCTATTCGGTTGTGCCTCGATATGGACAATGACGATGATCGCCTTCGACCGATATAATGTCATCGTGAAGGGTATCGCCGCTAAACCAATGACTAAGAACGGGGCTCTTCTGCGCATTCTTGGTATCTGGGCGTTCTCGCTTGGTTGGACTCTTGCTCCATTCTTCGGCTGGAACAGGTAAAACTGTTTTCTTTTACCTACTTGGGAAAACTCAATACGAATCACCGGGTTTCTAACATTTGTATATTACAGGTACGTGCCTGAGGGTAACATGACTGCTTGCGGGACTGACTACTTGAGCAAGGATTGGTTCAGCCGCAGCTACATTTTGATCTACTCGGTCTTTGTCTACTTTATGCCTCTGCTTCTAATTATTTACTCTTACTTCTTCATCGTGCAGGTGTGTAGTACCTATAATTTAGGGCAACAAAATATGAACCTATAAGTATTTCATTATAAGTAGTATGTGTAGGTACTAATGTGTGCTTGTTCCAGGCCGTCGCAGCTCACGAAAAATCCATGAGGGAACAGGCCAAGAAAATGAACGTAGCTTCTCTGCGATCATCGGAAGCGGCTAACACTAGTGCCGAGTGCAAACTCGCTAAGGTTCGAAAAGCTTTGATTTTTATCTGATAGTACGCCTTTCTTATACGACATCCGGAATCAACTTTATATAACAATTTATTCATTTTAAGGTGGCTCTTATGACCATTTCCCTATGGTTCATGGCGTGGACACCTTATCTGGTAATTAATTACACCGGCGTATTCGAGAGCGCACCCATCAGCCCACTGGCCACAATCTGGGGCTCTCTATTCGCTAAGGCTAATGCCGTCTACAATCCTATTGTATATGGTATCAGGTTAGTACCTACTTCACAATGATTTAATCTAATTAGTCTTATCTAATAGCAGTAGAGCTCCTTGTGAAAGAGTTCGTCCATGGAAGTAGGCTGCCACCTTACTTATTTCTATCGCTAAGCAGTAATGTGACCATTACTGCGTTTCGATTTTGAAGAGTAAGGGTGGTGGTGAAATTACAGGCACATGGGACTTTACAACTTATGTCTCTGGGTGACGGGCGCAGAGGCAGTGCTCCTCAGATTTTTTGCGATTTAAATCTCTGAGAGGCACTGCAATTGTTATGGACAAGCACGTCGCTTATCACCAGGCGCATGACTTGATCGTCCCTTCACTTTGTATGGCGTACAAAAAAAGAACGAATCAATAATATGATCACTCTCTAAATAAATTATAATTCTATATTTTGACCCAAAAGGTATATACATGTTTATATGAGTAATGTACATTATTATTTTTCGAACAGCCATCCCAAATACCGCGCCGCGCTGTACCAGAAGTTCCCCTCGCTGTCATGCCAGGCTTCGCCCGACGAAGGCGGTTCCGTGGCCTCTGGCGCCACCACCGTCTCAGAGGAGAAACCGGCTGCCTAGACTGGGCGCTTCTGAGGCACGAGTATCTATACAATCTACGAACAAGCTGCGAATGTCGAATGGACTCACGATTTTGTCAAAGCGATGTTATTTATTATTTTTATACGCAAACATTTATATTTGTACAAAGTTATAAATTTGTACACAGATCGCGAGCTGTCGCAAAATATTCAGGACATTGGACTAACTGCGTATTTTGAGTTCACGGTTTTGTGTATCAAGTTGAACGTTGCACACTTTTCTTACACCATTGCTTGAAACATCGGCCAACGGCATTCAAAAAAATCCAAAAAAATGTTGAAATGAATTGTATGTCGCTAGGCCGCCCCCTATCCATGAGACTGCTCCTGTTAGTTATAGTGATGCGATAGATTTCTTTACGACGAAACAAGCTCTGTATAACGGACCAATAAAGTAATATAAAAGCAAACTGGTTATGACCACGTTACAAGAATATTTTTATTTGATACCTTCGTAAAAACCCATTCACCCCTACTTACTACCTACGAATTATCAGGCTTGAGAGATTATTACACATTGGAAATTAGACCATTTTCCCAGAAATCAAACTATTTTTATTGTTTAGTTTGTTCCAAAAAATCCAAAATCGTTAATTTCCTATTTACCCCTACTTGCCCCTACTAAACAAAAACTACAACAATATGACAATAACCTAATAATGAAAGTAGGTATTTAAATAGGTAATTCACATAAAATCTTCACGGTGAACGTATTCACCATTATTAATAATCATTCAAGTTTAGTGTTAATGTTGCCTAGCAACTAATGACAAACAAAACAACAAATCAAAGAGACGATTTCATATCTTCAAGTTATAACATAAAGAGCTAGATTAAGTGTAAATAAATTGTAAAATTACTTGTAAGTCTTAAAACATCAATAATGGCTGGTAAAAGATCGTACGAACTTCACCACCACTTCCCAAGAGTCGCGGATGAGTCGGGTTTCACTTTTAACATACACCGTCCTCGAGCTCACATCGATTGGAATAAGTTTAGTAAGTTTCTACAAGGTTTCTATATCTCTTTTCATTTGTCTACCAACACCTGATGCATAATATACATTTATAAACATTACTTTCAGGGTTAATTGATATAGACGGCCTTATTCGAGAAAGAAAATTCACGTTAATAGAACAACATATGAACGACGTATGTATAAAAGTTATGATTTTTATTCAAGAACTAAACTAGTAGCTGTTGGTGCAGTTTACCGTTATCTAATTTAATCTTTATGTTGGTGATAAAAATAATTATAACTTTTTTATTAGAAATAACTGAGCTCAAAAGTTTGTGGAATTACATCTATTTGCCAAATTTTATTGAAATCGGTAAACGGAGTGGATAACACACTTAGAATAAAAAGAACCACCCACTAATTTGCCACCCTGCGAAGTGGAATATATTCTTCAACTTGTAATCCTTTCCAACTCAAAAAAGTCCTTCAAATCGGTTCGCAAATGTCGGAGTACTCGCGAAACATACAACAAAATGCAGTTGAATTGAGAACCTCATCCTTTTTTTGTAGTAGGTTTAGCAAACAATTTTTGATTTTACAAAAATTGTTTGTTTGAAAAATCTAAAATGAGCCTATAACATTTGCTTTCTTTTGTATTAGATTCTGCAATGTGTGTTGGAATCAGAATTCGATGTGAGGATTTTGGACGAAGGTGTAGTAAAGATGTTTAGAATGGCTCAGTTAGCTATAGAATATCAACAGTTTTGCCGTCATTACCTCGACCGTAGCGTTTTTGTATTAAGAGAGGAAATTACAGCACTTGCTCAGGTAGGTAACTCGAGTTTTACGCATCGCTATAGCTATGCAAATTCTGGTCATAAAAATAACTTGTGATAAAAAATAATTTTGCAGGAACTAGATATGACTAAGAAAGAACTGAGAGAAAAAGACGAAGAAATCCGAAAGATGAAAAAAAAAACAAAGCACACATATCGGACACCACTTCCGTACGGCAATGACAATATAGCCACAATGATACTGAAGACGCTTGCGAATAAGGGCGACATTTTTCCTACTACATCTAATGGAGACACATTACAATATAATAAATGTAGCTACTGCGATAAAGTTTTTCTCAACCAACTTTATTTGCAAAGTCATTTGTCCAGGAGACATCCCAATGTCGTTGAAATACCCCAAAAAGATATCCCTGACAATGTCCAAAGAAAATCCGAACAAGAAAATACAAGACTCAATGATGAAGTGATGGCATTGAAGTTAAAACTAAAAGAAATGGAAAACATGATTGCAAAAGCAAATAATCTGGCAAATACTGCTAATACAGAAACAAAAACGGATAATCTTAATATAGATAAAGACATTGTGGAAAGGAATATGAAAGATGCGGAGGTATCTACCAACAACGAAGATTACCTGCTAGATAAAATAGAAGAATGGAAAAGGGAGGAACATGAGAAATACAACAAGGAAATTAACTTGCTACGAAGTCAAATCTTAGAGACTATAAACTCTATCAAAGAGAAAGAGGCCCTAAAACAGCCCCAAAATGATCCAAATGTGAATTTAATCGAACAACTTCATGCTACAATTAAACAACAGGGTGCCGAAATAGTTCTTTTGAAAAATGAATTGCGTGATTCTGTAAGTAAACTTTCTCATTTACTTATTTTAGTAGATAGAGTTTGACTAATATTATTAATTTTAGGAACTGAAATCACAAAACGAAAAAGTTGAGAGGAAGGCGGAAACTGATTCACAAACGTTACTGTGGAATAGAAGGGCCGAAGCTCAAATGAAACAATACGAATCGTTGCTTCAAAAATTGAATGAAGTAGCTCAAGAAGCGCGGGAATCTCGAGCAACAGCTGATGCGGAACGGGAACGAGCAACGCAGCTCCAGGTTTTATTGCAACAAAGCTTGAACAATCAAGTTAGGTTAGATACGGATAGACATAACCATCAATACAAGGTGTGTGGGAATTTAACAAACGTAAACAGAGAGTTATAACTCTTTTTTTAAAAATTAATTAAGTTACAAGTACACATTTCAGGAAAATTCGAAAACTACCAGTACTATCGAAATTTCAACCCCAACGAAGACAAAAAACAAAAAATCACTTCGTAAATCGAACCCCGTTGCTGATCGCAATACGCTGGAAAATTTACATCGCAAGGCACAAGAACTTCTTAAGATGAAATCTACAGATAGTTCATCAGATATATCAACTACAAGTTTGGAAAATCAACCAAATCTTACCACAACTGAGAAATTGAAAGTGAATGTAAATCAGCAGCTGCCACCCAACGGCTATAATGTAAACAAAGAAAGTCAACGTGTAAAAAATAAATTAATTTCAAAACCAGCAATGAAAAATCACAACCGCGAAACTAACACTCCAGAACCAAAAGTAAAAAAGAACAAGTCAAAACCTCGTCATTATGTCTTATCTAAAGTGGGAAATGGAGTAGTCGTACCTCCGGGGAGGTAAAGTATGGCAAAATTAATTATAATTTTGCTAAAAATTCACAAGTTTAATAGATTCATTGTTTTCAGTCCGTTAAAATTAGTACGAGCAAGACTCACAGAGGAGGTAAACAGTCGTCTTGTATCTGCCGGCATTGATCCACTTAAAAACAGAATGCCACAACAAGTATTTAAAAAGCAACGCATGCAACTGCAACAAATGCATGACTTTAAGTCAAAGGTTTACGAAATTAAATTACATTTCATTTCTCATATATTGCATAAATGTACAAAATTTTTTGTACAAAATTAATTCACTTATTTGTATTTTTTGTTATTTCCAGAAAAATCCCGCGTACCAAAAGACAAGGCATTCCATTTTGGCATTTTTGGATTCAACTACTTCCAATTCAAAGAAAAGAGAAATTATCGAAAACCAGGATTACACATCACCGACTAAATTAACGAAACCATTCAGTTTGACAAATGTAATATCTAATGTTAAAAACAAGGCCTTATCTCTTGTTAAACCAAATGACATGACAAATAAAACCAAACGTAATACATTAAACGCCGAAGTTGCTCGAAAAGCAATGTCCTTGCTAAAAACTCCACCGGATTCAATGAACACAAGTCCAGCAATACAAAGAAAAATAATTGACCTGAAGGTTAACTCTCCTGGAGATGCCAAAACAAAATTATTGACCGCTAAATCTACATTGAATTCTGAATCTAACATAATAGAAAAAATGAGACAAAATGTTAAAAGTCAAGCAGAGGAAGTCGCCGTGGATTCCGATGACGATTCAGATGAAAGTGATAATAATTATTACTGCTCACAGATCACGCAACAATCAACAAAATCTATAGAAAGCCTCATCAAGTCTCCCGCCAGACGACCATCGTCAGCTAATGCTGATTACAACGGCTCTGTTCGTAAATATGTGATTGATAGCGAGCCTTACATTGCACGCGCGCAATCTGAGAGTAATATATCTGAACACAAAAAGGAAGTGAAAGTAAAACAGTTTTTGCACGGTCAAAGCTTCGATAACAGCAGTGACGAAGTAGAATCGTTAGTAGATATTCCAATGAAAAAGATAGTATCTGTGGAAAATATCAAGGAGGTTCCGAAACAAACCAAAGGTGTTTTGAAGAATGCCTCTTCAACCTCTTCGCTGAATAAGAAGAAAGTGTTGTTTGACATGGACGCAATTCAGATGAAATCGGTAAGCGCTTCGCCGTCACAAAGTACGACGGAGAAGAGCGACGACAATGAAAAATTCGAACTTGGTTTGTTAAATCTAGATGGCGAAGAATGGGATATATCCAGGTAAGTCACCAACGTTTAGTGTGATTACTTCACAAATATGGAATTGTTACTTTCTTGATATGTATATTGTACTTAAATTTTGGTTAACAGCATAGAAAATGAACCACTAAAGAACGACACGAAGATCCAAGTGAACTCGCGTACAAGTCCAAAGATCGCGGAGCTGAAGCAAACGATCGAGTCTCAATTAGCACGACGAAACGAAACCCCTACTGCACTAGTGGGTGGAGTAAACCTGATGCCTACTCCTATGCCCAGAACTTCAAGCGTTGCTGGCAGCAACACAAGTCTCGGGAGTTCTATCCTAGATGAATCCGACGGTATGCCTCCAGTGGTAAACCACAAAACCTTCGTGAGACCAAAACGAGTGGCTGACAAAGAGGACAGTGAAATAGATATTTCTGAATACAGTCTCGATGGAGTTAGTAATAAGAAAAGAAACGATTCATTTTAATGTTAAGACTTATGATTTGTAATAAAACTGAAATTTTCCATAACACACCGTCGGATTGCCGTTCCAACATTCTTGTCCTAAAATGAAACGAATTTAATATAGATTCGAAATAGATTGTACCCTCTAGCATAGCTCTTTAAAAATTGCTGTTTATAAAAGTAGAAGGAATATCAATTACTAAGTAAACAGTAAAACGCAGTGTAAGGGTGATAATAAAATTGTGTAGTATAGATACATATAAGCAATAATAATCATGGACGTAACAGGTAATAAGTATGTTACACTTGATTGTGACGGTCGGTCCTAGGAGCTAGTATCGACTGCATTCACATCTATCCAAATAATAATTTTCGATACAACTGGTCCACCTACAGTTGTTAGTTATGTGTGTACCTGTCGGACTTGAAACTGTGTAGCGATAACGTTACAAGCTTATGGGTATTTGATGTTACAAGCGAACACACCAACAATTCCAACAGTTCCTGTGTATTCGCGTCATCGTGTAGGCACCTACATAATCAAATTCCTTATAGGATGGGAAAAAAATTCGCGTTTTGGCTGTCGATGTCGATCACCCTTTGAGAATGTCATTCATATTTGTACAGTCCACCACATATCGTACTCGTCGGCACTGGCATCATACCATCAATCGTACACTAAAACGTGCTTCAGCCTTATAGGATAGAAAAAGTCTTCAGCTCACTGTAGCGCGTGAAAGATGTCAGACCACACGCCTTTGAAGACCACGTTTATAAAAATACGACATTTGACATAGACGCAAAGATAAAGTTACTATGTTGTACATGGTCAAGAACACGTCAAGTTAGACACTTAATCATTTAAATTAAAGTCTATTCTGCTTGCGAGAAGAAGGGTCCAAAGTATTAAGCTTAATGTGCTTTTGATCTTGGTTGTACTTGTACTGTACAAGAAATGGACACCGACACAAGAAAAAAAAACTACAACCTTTACAAAAAATAAAAGATGGTACCGTTTTGGAAGTAAAGAGAAGTTGCGATGCGATGCAATTTCCCGATTTCGTGTAATATTTTTCTAGACTCCTAGTTTATTTGTAGCGCGTGAAGTTCTAGACTGCGAACAGATAGATCCAACAGGCTTAGCATGAAACCCGAAGACCAAAGTTATCTCTTCTAAGAACTGTCAATTTTCTCGAGATTATCGAGCTTTTTTGGAGAGAAAATTGACAGTTCGAAGAAGAGATAACTTTTTTCCCTTGTAGCTACACAAGTAAAAGGGAAACACTGCTTCCATTTCGACATCAACATACACTGAGCGAGTCATGCAACGATAACGGCTTGCCAATCAGTGTCGATTGCATCGTTGTATATTATTATATCGACTTTTCTGCATGCAGTCTTTCTGGTAGGTCGCTCCAAGGCGATTTTGTACAAAAATAGTACATTATTGTACGGACCGGGAAATTAGGGATTGCATGATGAGTATGAAGTTACAAGTACGATACGAGTCCAGCTATCCCCGTTCCCGCCGAGGCTTATATAGTGCTTTTCTCAAACAATGCTAGGAAATAGTAAGACTAAACACAGGAAGGTTTATATCGTGTATTGTATAATAGAAAAAGTTAAAAAAAAAAATTAAGTATGTATATTCCGAATCCGGCTGGATCGAAGGATTTTTTTCTGGGTGTTCAATCTTTGTATTAATAATTATAAAAAATGAAGTAGTTATTATTAAAATTAGTAAACATGGGACGTGTTAGGACACTATAGCAAAAAGAAAATGTTATTCCAGGCGCATTAATAGTAGTCTGCTGAACTTATCCATTAATGTATTTTCACTAAAGTTATTCTCACTAGAACTCATTTACTAAAAATAAAAAAAGTAAAATACAAAAAAAGCGAAATAACATAAGCTGGCATAAGCCTAATGGCGAATCGTTAATGTAAAATTGCTATAGGTCGATAGTATCCACTCAATATAAGCAAATTCGTTAGTGTCCATTTTTCATTTTTTTTATTAGGGCATTATCATTTGTTTTGGTTCGCTTTTTTGAAATTATTTAAAAGCTTACTACGAGATTCAAATTAGTATTAGTAGATATTCTTATTTTTCTAATAAACATTGGCACTAAATTGCACACTTTCGTAGCTAGATATAAAAACAAAAAAGAAAGCTTTTTTCGTAACTGGTTATGGAAAGAGCAAATCTGCATCCGTTTTCGTAACTGTTAAATATAGATTAAACTTAGAATATTAACGCATAGAATGATAGTTTCATATCAAACGAACTGTCACAAGTGAGGCAAAAACAAATTCATGTAGGCTTAGTTTTAGTAGTAGGTTAATTTTCGGTTTTAGTGAATATTTATATAAAAATACAAGTAGAAACGCGTTACTTCCTTGTGGAATGTGATGTTAGTATCTATTTTATGTTTGTCTGACGTATTTTTACACTCATTTACCGCACATTTCGTCATTTTTAGCTAAAATTCTTGATCTGTTCGCGGTGCAGGTTGACCTTGAGCACTGAAGGCCCGCCCGCTCGTGTAGGCCCTTTTGGCGCGCTTCAATTTGCCTCACTTAGCGTGTGCGGGCTAGGTTTCTATGCGTTATTATTCTAAGGGATTAAATATTCCTTTTTATTAACTGATTACGAAATAGTGAAGGAAAAATATTTCGTTACTAGTGATGAAAAACAGTTACGTAGTATGTGTGTACGGACAACGGCACATCAGACTACACATTTTTGTTCAAAAATCGTCTCCAGTGCAACGGAACAAGACACGTCAATGTGTAGCTTGATGTGCTGGCGTGGTACATACCAAAGGGCGCCTAATGGCCGCCATAAGGGAAATAATAATTTACCACCATTTTCTTTTCTTTTTTTTTTTAAGTAAGCGGTACAGGTAGGTAGGTATTTTTAATTCTCAGAATTACGGACACTAGGCAGTTTTTGTACGAGTTTTTCTTTTGCCTGTTTACATAGTTCATTGTATCATAAATTGTTATTTTATAAAACAGATTTAAGTTTAGTAGCGGACAAAAATGGATTTCCATACGTCGTAGCTACTTTCCAGGCCTTGGCCGGAAAGAAGTCGCACGGTCTTTATATGACTTTCTGTGTTCGTTTTTGAAAGTTAAGCTAGCATTTACGAGCTTATTTGAGAAAAAAACATTTCAATGCTGCTATATTTATAAATATCGTGATTTATACAGCCACATTGAGAAAAAATCCATACATTGTAAAACAATCTAAGAAGGTCCGATGTCGGCCATTGTGAAGTACTTGTCAATAATAGCTATTCTGCGATTTTTATTTTCAGCCAACTAGTATGCGTAAGGGAAAAAAAACGTAAAGGCAGTAGTAAGGAGCGTAAACACCACGAATATTGAGAACAAGTCTTTACGACTACACAACTCAACTCCATATAAAAAAAAACAAATAAAAGATAAATGGTGATCTAAAGAATTGGGACAGGACTGTTGCTTTTGAATAAGAGCATAATCTTTTTGCAACCATAAGCACCAAATTAGCACAGAGTTGCTGCTTTCGGTGGTACTAAAAGGAAAAAGATGTAAATGTTAAACAAAAAATCTTGGGATTTTTAGTATTTTTATTTCGCATAAAACTACGTTTACGCCTCCTTCTTTGTGTCGGTCTTGCCACCGCGAATTCTTCCGGTCCTGCGGGCGGCGATGAGACCAACCTTGCGACCAGCGGATGTTCCTCTCTTGACAGTAGAAGCCTTACCTAGAAAAGAACAAAGATAAATTGTTAAGTGCATTCAACATTACAATTACATTGTATTAAGCACTTTTGGCTTCAATGGACTGTAACCGTCGCCTCATATGAGCATAACACATTTTGTTTGTATTCAAGTTTAATCATAATACACTTCCTAAAAATATTTAAGATAGTATCAGATACCATTTAAATTTAAATTAAAAAAAGCCTGGTACAAAACAGTGTACTCCAAAAAAATCAAGTCTCTGCATTGCAGTTCGCGCTGCCGTCAGCCGTGTAATGCAGGGTTATGAATGTAGTCGCAGCATGAAAGCCATCCTGCAATCCTGCAATGTGTCCTGCGAGAATCCATATGTTGGCCATATGCAGGATAGTGTGTGAGCAGTTTTCTGCCTGCGCAGCGGACTGCCACGCAGGTAGTGAATGGCCCGTTTAAGCTAACAACTCGTAGAGATCAACAATGGTTCTACTGTAGTAGTTGAGGAGTGGGGTAGTCTACAGAATGTCCTGGTTGCAGCATAGGATTAGGTTATATCATCAGATTTCCATTGTATAACAAATTTCAAGTCAATTGGACAAGTGGAAGTGAAATATTAATTTTATGACTGAGATCTCTGCAATAACTAGGAAAATACCTGACGCTCTTTAAACAGCTGAACAATGTTGATCAAGCATAGCTAAGAACTATAATGATTTGGTCTTCAAATAAAAAAAATGTAGGTCAGTCCATCTATTACTAAATTACCACAGACATACAAACGTACAGATACACAAATAAAAGCTTAAAACTTATAATTCCACTCTTTTGCATGAGGATTTAAAAAGTGTTATGATTTCACAATTTTTTTACGTTTATTATTATTACATGGGAGGTGCTAACTAAATTGTACTCCAAACATTTTTCCTATCTGTTTTATTCCTCAAAAGTCACGTGGAAAGCAATAATGTATCCACCTATTACACTGAGTTTTTATAACTCCTTAAACACAAGAATGTATATATTATAAATCTTTCTTGTGTAAGAAGTAAAAATCATGTTGGAAGATCATTTATATTTTTGTAATGCCTGCATAAAGGATTTGATTATTATTATAAATTATTATTTGTTATTTTCGATGTTCTGACAAATGTTTTGAAAGTAGACACTTACCAATATGTTGATGGTTACCACCACCATGAGGATGCTCTACAGGGTTCATGGCAACACCACGCACATATGGCCAGCAGTTGCGCTTTACCTTGTATTTATGGTATGCACGACCAGCCTTCAGGATGGGTTTGTCAATACGACCACCTCCAGCAACAATGCCTGGAAAAATATCACACTATTTGGAGAAGAAATATGTTTTTTTAATTTGAAAAGTAGCAACAAGTTTGCCTCAGAAAGAGCCTCTGTGTAATCATAAAACTTCAGAGTAGGTAAGTGAAAAGTCATCATGAACAAAAAAATTAGCATATTCAAACATCAAAGCTAGCTTTAATTTTATGCTTGTAAAACTCAACACACAAATGTAAACCATGACATAAAAGAGAAGAGAACAAATTTCAGCTTTAGAGACTCAACATATTTATTCAGAATCGCTGTGAACCAGTCAGAAAAACCTTTACATCCCTGCAATAAGAGCAAAATAGATATTACGCATTTAACTTCCAATTGTATCACAAATGCAAGATGCACAACATCATTTTTGCTCTTATTACATGAACATTGACAATTTTTCTCACTGGCTTATTGCAAATCTGTTGATAAGTGTGGTGACTCCCTTATGTTGTATCCATTTTACTCACCAACCATTCCTCTGTTGCTGGAAGGAAGGACTTTCTTTGCACCAGATGGCAGCTTGACTCTGGTGCGCTTGGCGTCAGGGTTGTGACCGATGACTGTGGCAAAGTTGCCAGAAGCACGAGCCAGCCGACCACGATCACCCATCTTTTCTTCCAGATTGCAGACAATTGTACCCTCAGGCATGGCTCCAACAGGCATTACATTTCCTGAAAAATCATAGGTAATTCAATTGTAGAGATGGGAAAAACTGCTTATTTTTTGAATTTTTAGACATTGCTTTTTTTAAACACTTTTTCACTTAAATGATTTATAATTTGAAGCTAACAAAATCATTTAGATAACGTTTAAGCGCATATACTTTTATGTTCAAAAAGCTTGCAACATTGTGTTGATAGCGAAATGCAAGAGTATACCACTAAGATTTTAAGATAAGTAAGATTTATTTTAAAAAAATGAGTCATATTTTTATTTGTGGCAACAGTATTATATTAACATTTTGTTCATTGGCATTTAAAAGCATTCAAAAACATAAGTTGTTTAACTTTTGTACTTGTTAATCGTTGAAATGGAAAAACTGCTTATTTTTTTAACATTAAAACGTACGTTTGAAGAACGTGCTTGTAAAAGGGCTTTTCACTTAAACGCTTTTAGTTTGATGCTTAAAAAGTCATTTAGAAAAATGTTTAAGAGTATAGACTTTGTTTAAAAAAGCTGGCAACATTATGTTAAATTAATTTGTTTACAAAACATAGATGACACTACTTGAAACTTAAGCACGTAAAAAGTGAAATTGTTGAGTACCTATAGAACTGACCAGTGACCAACACTTATGCTTAAAATTAAAAGCGTGCGTGTGTGCTTATTTTAAAAAGCAGACTTTTTAAGTGCTTTTCGTTTAAACACCAACCTCTATTCAATTGTAATATATGTCAGTGTTTATAGTGCACTGCCTTTAGTGACTAGTTGCAATTCACTGCATTTTATGATTACTTGCTGATCACAAGCTGTGTTTAATTTTGGGGTCATTAATTTTTAATATTTATCTTCAAACCATAATAAAATAAAAATATTACACAGTTTCGCTTCAAAACTCCGATTCTTATTATTGTGAAGCAGGTCAAGTACTTACCAACTTCGAGTGTAGCTTTCTTTCCACAGTATACAAACTGGCCTGTGTAAAGACCTTCTGGCGCGATAAATAGCTCCTTGCGCGTCTTAAACTTATATGGGTCACGGAAGTGGACTACCGCTAATGGAGCACCACGGCCTGGGTCGTGGATGATGTCCTACAACACATATTTATATTGTATGATATTGTATGGCAATTTGTGGTTAGAATTCATACCACATCTATCACAAAATACCTTCACCACGCCTTTGATGTAACCATGACGTTCTGCATAGTCCAGAGAACGAAGCTTAGGCGCTCCTTTCCTTTTCTTAGTGTGTGATACGAACACTGAACCGGCACCTTTACGCTGAGCACGGATCACACGACCCATGATTACAATCCCTCACTGAAAAATAAACAAGCGGTATGATACGAAAATTAAGGTTGCATTGGGTAGGTACCTTCACTACCGCAATATTTACATTATTTGTAAATTTAAATACATGATTTACATTATGATTATTTCAGATTAAACAAAATGTTGGTTAAAACTACGTACATTCACAGAGGTGCACTTTTGAAAGAACTAGTGTTGTCATCTTTTCTTATGATTTGACAAATATGTGATTCAACTAATGAGTGAGTCATAGTTACTAAAAAAAAAAAGGAGGGGGAAGCTGGAGGCGCAATGAAGCCCAAACTTTTTTTAATATTTATTTAGGTGTGACTTTTATTGCCTACTCACATTCTTGCAGGGGGAACCTTGCATTGAATATGACGACGATAAAAAAAAAACAAAAAATGAATCATCTGCTGCCCTGCTTAGTCCTATAGACGTCTAGAGGTGGGCGTTTAAGCGAAAAGCACTTCAAAAAGTCTGCTTTTTAAAATAAGCGCATAAGCACGCTTCGTTCGTCACTGGTCAGTAGTTGTTGTGTGTCGTCACAGGTCACTGTTCTATAGACACTCAACAATTTCATTTTTTAAGTACCTAAGTTTCAAGTAGCGCCATCTATGTTTCCTAAACAAATTAATTCAACATAACGTTGCAAGCTTCTTTAAACATCTATGCGCTTAAACGTTTTTCTAAATAACTTTTTAAGCGTCAAACTAAAAAGCGTTTAGGTGAGAAGCGCTTTTACAAGCACGCTTTTTAAACGTACGTTTTAGCGTTAAAAAATAAGCAGTTTTTTTCCATTTCAACGGTTAACAACTACAAAAGTTACAAGTTATGTTAATGAACGCTTTTAAACGCCAATGAACAAAATGTTAATATAACAATGTTATGTAACAAATAAAAATAAAACTCGATTTTTACAAAAAACTCACTTATCTTAAAACTTTTAGTGGTCTACTCTTGCGTTTCGCTATCAACACAACGTTGCAAGCTTTTTTTAACATAAAAGTATATGCGCTTAAACGTTATCTAAAGGGTCATATTCTAGAACTCTACTCAATGCTTAAGTCAGGACTTGAGTATGATTTAAAGCACTAGAAATCATACAAGTCCTTGCTATTTGGATCGTATTTCCAGTACGAGAAAACACACTCAAGTCCTAACTTGAGCATTGAGTAGAGTTTTGGAATACGATCCTGTCTCTTGTATTCCATTACAAATCAATATACGGACACGTTCATAAATAAATGGTCTAATATAGAAGCATTCACAAATAAAAGGCAAAAATTAAAATGATTATTATAATGTGTAAAATTAATCGATTGTGCATAAATTAAAAATAAAATTGTATTATGCTAATGAGTTGACGACCGACTCGTTTGGATTTTTTGTTCGTATTTTTTTTTTCTCATTTTGCTTGGCTATTCGCGGTAAGCGTTTTAGCTACATAAAGAGTGTTTTGATTATCTTGTTTTTTAAAATTGAAAATTGGACGTATTTAAAAGTTAACGTAATAAACACAGACATTGTTTGTGATCTATTGATGATCTACTGCAAATCTACTGTTCTGCAAGCTGACGATGGCAAGTGGCGGATAAAAGAACCATATAATATTTGCGTGAACCCCTCGCCCCGCATTCTCTCTCTTCATCCATTCACACGCTTCACTTGAAATGAAAATAAACCACAAATACATGTCAAACAAAAACTGATCTGTGTTATTTTAGTCTTTCCAAAGTAAATAATCTGGTTAATTTATTGACTGAAGGATAGCGCCGGGCTCCATATAACTTGGACACTGGTCACGTTGCGATCATGCGAACTCCTGCCATCACGTTGCAATCGGCGTGGACAGCATCATTTACATTTTCTGTTTCAGTAGGTAACGTAATAAATTTATGTAATTTCGATCAAGTGCAAATATTAAAAAAAAGTCGAAAATACAGAAAATGTTCATGCAGAAATCATTGGTGCATTGTGAACTAATTGTATATGAAGTCGAGAGATAAACAAAGGGACAAGTTGGAAGAAATATTTTGTATTTTTATGTTCTATTTGTTTTCTTGAGAGATATTGAATTAAATTAGTGTAATATAAACTGTGCAACATTGTTAGGTTTACTGTGAATTATTGGATACCAAAACTGTTTGAAAAATGATTTCATAAACAGTGCACATCATTATTGGTGAGTAAAATATAATTGTTCTAGAACTACACTTGGCTACTGCGTGTTTTTATTTATCCATAGTATGAGAGATGACATAATTGTGTCATTTTAAGTCTGTAAAGAAAATAGTGTTTATGAGAGTACAGTGTGAATGCGTAAAAAAATAATTTAAATCTTTATCTGACATGCAGGTAAGTTAAAAATTTATTTGAAAAGATTTTTAATGCTTAATTAAAATTCAGTTGGGTTTTACATTAATTCCATTAAGTTCTGGTCACCTACTTAAATATCACAATTTTAAGTAAATATTTACAAATAGAACTGTGGCATAGTTGATGTTGAAGGACTACTTCTTGTAGTGGTGTAGATAGGTGAAGAGGGTAGAACGAACACCTCCTGCGAAGTTATGTCCTTAAAAGTTTTTAGATTATACTAATTTTTGAAAAATTGTAATGAATATTCTCAATATCATTTTATTAGAAGATCAATAGATTTTTATTAGAAGTCCAATATGTATAATATTATTATTATTTATATTATATTATATTATATTATTAATATGTATAATAATGTTTTGTACTTATTTGTAATTATAAGATGCTCTGTTACGTCATCTATCAGACATCAAATACCGAATAAACAAATAGAGCAGCCAAACCTGGTGCATTCCTGATACATTGCCATATTGTAGGTGTTTTGTAGAAAAGTAGTAAGCGACATTATATGTATATAGTATAAATTTTTTAAAATTCAATATGAGCTATTTCTGCTATCCCGATTTTCTCCTCTCATACAATAAAATGATCCTTACATGAAACTAAGTCTATCAGCTTTAAAAAAAGTTATTAATTTTGTATGAAACAAACAGCTTATGAAATTTGACCAACTTCTGTAGTCCTGATTTATTCATCTCATACAATGAAATGACCTTTACATGAAACTGTGTTGATCAGCACTAATAAAAATATTAATCAATTTTATTCGTTTTTATGGACAACTCACGCTTGACCAAAAAATTGACTTGGGTGCTGGTCATAACAAGTTTTGAACTTGTTATAAAAAAATGTAAAATATTTGTATACAAAATGTTGCTCCTTGTGGATACCAAGATTACTGTACAACAGGTGATACAAAATGTTAAATATTTTACCTTGGCGCTAGCGACAACTAATACATAGTAATCTGTAACGTCATGGGTAGAGATGAATTTTTCTGCATTTTTGCAATATAATCTGCAGCGTTTAAAATCTATACATGAGCTTACATTTCCTGAAATACTCACATAACAATAGTGTAGTGTATCATATTAATACATATTTATTGTTATGTAACATCAGCGTCAAGTATCAACCCACATAATCAGCTTTTACAATGATGCACAAAATACGATACTTTTATGTCAATACCAAAATTGGAAACCAAAAACAAAGGCCTGCAACAAACACATAGAAACATTCGTAAGGTCCCTTGGTTCATTCCGTGTCTTAGTTGGCATAGTGCCTGGCATAGTTTGCAGGAAGGTGCTGATTGAAATCCAGCTGGATCGAAGGAATTTTTTCTAAGTGGTTGACCTTCGTATTAATAATTATAACAAAGTAGTGAAATAATTTCACAAAAGTAATTGCATATCATGGTGGTGAAACATCCTGAAATTCAATAAACTTAAAAAATACCAAAATGTTTTTTTTTTTATTTACTTTCATTAATGGGTAATTCTTATTCTCAAGCAAATAACTGATACCTAATGAGAAGTGCATGTTTTTGCAATATAACGAAAAGCAAAAATTAATCACATGATAAACAATTACTCAATGTATATTTTGCCATATTACAAGTATATAAATGTAATACATAATATATTTTTGTTTGGCCGGAACTATATGAAATGTCACGACCATGTCGTGTGACTTTCCCGAAATTGCAACATTAAACCTAAACTAATCAAATATTATAAACATAACTCAGATTTTTTCCTCTTTTCTATGAATTGTTATATAGCCCCGATAAATTAATATCAATATTTCTGTAGAAACAAATAAATAACGTTTTACTTTTTCAGAAAAAATTTTGTGACTTGTTTTTTATCACATCCATGGTAAATAGAAAAATCTACCTAAGTCATCAATGACCTAAGTCGTAATAAACATCGGGCAACATCAATAATTATATACTTCTAGTGGCAACTCCTCAAATGATTGCTTTTCGCGATAGCGTTCATTGTTGTGGTGTCGAAAAATTAATTTCGAAAACATTTATTTTGGAAACTATCGAGCATGACGTGTCAAAACTGTGGATTTGTTTTATAAAGGTAAATATTCGATTTACTTGTTAATTTTGGCATATATTGTATGTTTATATAGCGGGATTACTATGCTTATAATTAAGCCAATATTCAATTAAAGACTTTAAGGGTATGAGTGGCATGGCGCAAAAATGTCACAAACATAGGTGTCACAGCCGCGTTTTCGTAAACATCATGGTTGTGACAATCTTCCACGGTCATGACATTTGACCAGTACAAGTGCCTTTTAATTATAATTTTATAGGCATAAAAGTTTATGCTTTGAGGCAGGAGCCTTACTATCGCGTGTGGTGCCTTGCATTTCGAAATACTAAGTTTAAAGTCTTCGGCATTGCATCCATGGCCATAAATGCAGCCATGAAGCTTGGCATCCTTTCAAAGGCGAGGCGATACTTCACACTGGGACACCCCATATCTTTCTCCATTAACTTTGATTATAGGGACCCTCTCTACCGATAAAAGGTAAATAAATAGAGTATACTTTGCCATGACAGATGCGCGCCGTCGCGCGACGGCAACGCGGTCTCCGGGCGGCGTGAGCGCAATGAAATTCGTGTAGAATAAATGCGCCCTTACAGCAATCCTGGACACAGGCTATGTACTGGTAGCTTAAAGGCGGTATGATAAGTTCCTCTATGCGTGAACGTGAGTCAGTCAGCCAATTTAGGTTTTTCCAGGTCCGTAGCTAAGATTGGTGGAGAACTGTGAGACATAAAATTCACGCGTCTGGACATGCACCGCATACCTTTGTAAACTTGCTCGCTTTTACCGTATGCCTGTATTGATTACTTCGGCTTCGTATACTCCCAGAAGTTCACGTCGTCTTCTTACCGTATCGATGGTATACACTATAATGCCAGCCATCGTGGTGAAAGGATTTGACATGGATTTGGTACTCGCCTATTGTTACCCAGGGTACGCCAGACGTACAGGAACGGGTTGGTAAGTCGGGCGGGGAGATTTATTTCGTGTCCATATCTATATCCACTATAGTTTACCACTCTATATATATCCACTCGTTCACTGTTGAAAAATACAACTCCACCAGAAGCATATAAAAATAAGTCTTGTCGACTTACAGTTTTTGATAGCTTCGAATAGTGCTGGAGTCATTTCTACGGGTTTACTGCAAGCCTTTCGATTTTACCCCAGCTAAAAGGGCCTCGAGTAGTGCTTGTGTTGTTCCTGATCTCGGGAGAAATCTGCGGTAAACACTCACCCAAGAATCGCCGCGATTCAAGATGACGAGATAGTTTACCCTAGAAATGTGATCTCGAACTGGCTAAAGCTGCACTTCCCTGCATTTATGAAGATCCATATTCCTTCAATCGCATGTAGGAGGTACCTGTAGCATTTGAAGTTGGTCTATGGAAATGAATAAGTATATCATCCAAATAGCAATATTGTATTGTATTAGTAGAGTTCTTTGTGAAAGAGTTCGTCCAGGGAAGTACTGCCACCTTACCTATTTCTGCCGCCAAGCAGTAATGTTAGTACTACTGCGTTCTGGTTTAAAAGAGTAAGGGTGCTGGTGAAATTACAGACACATGGGACTTGTCAACTTACGTCTCAGGGTGACGGGCGCAGTGGCAGTGTCCTTCAGATCTTTGCGATTTAAAACTCGTGAGTGGCACTGCAACTGTTATAAGTATAAAACTACATCTAGCTACTACTGCAAGAATGTAAAAACTACTTCGCGACGCCCGGTCTCTAGCTGTCCAAATACTTTGGGTCCAGAAAAACTGAAAATTGCAAATTCGAATTCGATAGATGCTGCTCAACGTCACCGTCTCACGTTAAAATCTGTAAGGTCCTCGTTCTGATCTCTTTACATAGCACGAAAGGAAAAACGACTGCTGGCGACCGTATGGAGACCACTGGACTGTGTCATACTAGTACCCCTGGTTAGAGTTTACATTTTTTTTTATAAAATCAAGTGACGGGACGTACAAGTCTCTTGCATCAAATATGTTTTTTTATCAAATATTATTTTTTAACCTATGTAGAGTGCTAAACGAGAAATAAATTTGTTGACAACCCGACCAATATTAATATAATTCACCCGTAAGGCATCTTTATTTATACATCTCTCAGAAATCTCTATATGTCCCTTTTTTGGCACCAATTACCAATTAGGCATCTCTACGAAACCCTCAGACGTCTCCTATAAATAGAGATGGTTAATATAATATATAGCTCAAATTTTACCGTTAAATTAAAAAAATATTATAGCAATTATAATTTGAAACACATAAAGGTGCTAAAATTGTAACGAACTTTTTTTTACTTTGGATTGGGGTACGCTAAGAAAATTAAACCAAGTGCCATCTAGCGACATAATTTTACAATATTTCAATGCCATACCATCAATCTATCCGCTACTTACGCAGCTAACAAACAAAATCCTTCTTCG